CATTTTAATTTATATATATAATTACCAAACAACCTTCTTTGACGAAGCGAGGAAGGACCGTAAATAAACAACGCTATTGTATCAGTGCCGGATTAAGCTAGTGCGGGGCATGTAGCATATTTTATAAAGGGGCCCTACATAAATAAATATAAAAACACACATTTCTTTACTTGCATAGTAAAGTAATTGTATTTTTTCATTTGCTATACAGCCAGATAATACGACAAATCGCTAACCGTAAATACTCAGTCGTTTATAAAAGTTGAAGGCAGTATAGTACTATAGTAATAGAGCAAGTGCAAAACCACCCAACCGGAATTGATAGCTTGAAAGCATTTGGCGCGGGGCCCTTTAAAATGCGGGGCCCGTAGCTACAAATGGAGCTACTTTTGTTACTAGGATAATCCGGCTCTGTATTGTATGCGACTTTTTTTGTCTTATATTCAACACTTTGGTTCTTTCGGTAAAGCCACGTAGGTAGAAAAATAAAATAATAATATATTACGACGTTTCGATCGCAAACACAAGCGGTCGTCCTCAGGCGGAAAATAATAATGATCCAGAAGTGGAGTGGCTGAACCAGCGAGAGAGCTGTCACGACAAGAGGTGTTATATATATATGTGTGTGGCGAAGGACAAGCAGGTGGGGTCTCAGCTGGAAAGGAATTCCATCCCCGGAAGCTGTGGAAAACGTTAGATATGACACACCACCCACAATGGTGCGCTGAAAGACGAAGCCGCGGTTATTTCACGTTTTTTTTTTAGTTTGCAACGCTAAAGTGAGGAGGTGGCTCAGGCAGACTTGCGAGTGAGACGCTCCACCTTTGATGGATTCCCCCATGGTTGAAATACACTTTAACAAATAACATGTCAACAAACAAACAAAAAGACTCGATTTTTCTTTTTTGAGAGCGGAGCGTTTTACGGCACGAAATAGTCGAGCAGAGGACGCTCGTTCTGCTTCTGCCTTTCTTTGCTTTGTCGATGGCTTGCGCCGCCGAGGGCTCGCGGACGAACGCACGAACGCGCGAACGCACGAACGCGCGCAGCGCCTCCGATCGCGAGCAACGCAGGCGCAGTGGCGGCGGACGACGCGAAGCCCGAAGCGCGATGGGGGGGGGGGCCCGCGGGGGCCCGCCCCCCCACTCCCCACGGTGCCCATCGCCCTATCCTGCCCGGGCCCCCCCACCTCCCCCCCACCTCCCACCCGGGCCCCCCCCCACTCCCCCCACTACCCCCTGGGTCCCCCCACTCCGCTCCGCCCCCCACCTCCCACCCCACCCCCCCCACTCCCCCCCGCCCCCCCCCACTCCCCTTCGGGTCCCCCCCACTCCCCCCCGCCCCCCCCCACTACCCTCCGGGTCCCCCCCCCACTCCCCCCGCCCCCCCCCCCCCCACTACCCTCCGGGTCCCCCCTTTCCCCTTCCCTCCGGGCTCTGGTGTACACGAGCCGCCCCCTCCCCCCGGGCCCCTCCCCCCCGGGCCCCCCCCACTCCCCCCCCGGGCCCCCCCACTCCCCCCCCGGGTCCCCCCACTCCCCCCCGGGCCCCCCCACTCCCCCCGGGCCCCCCCACTCCCCCCCTGGCACCCCCACTCCCCCCCGGGCCCCCCCCACTGCCCTCCGCCCCCCTACTCCCCCCCGGGCCCCCCCATACTCCCCCCGCCCCCCCCCTCCTCTCTCGCTGCGAGCTTCGTCTGCAAGCACGGCCGAGTCGACTCGGCGCTGCCGCCTGTCAACTCGGCCTCGTGCCCCTCGCGACTCGCTCTGAGGCGCCGCGAACGTCCGTCTCGACGGCCCTTGGCATGGGCACGCCGCAGCAGGCGACCCCGAGTGACCCCTTTTTAATAAATAAATGAATTAAAACGAAACCATTAGGCCCTGCAGCAGCGTAAACGGGGTGTCGGTTTAACGATGTGGGAAGAGTGCACGCTCATTACGAATGCAGATTGTGTGACGACGTTGCATTATCGCAGGAAGAAAAGGAACGCAGCCGACGAGTACTCTAATGCAGGAAGGGTACACGCTCCTTTATTCATACATTTTATTTATTAAACAGCTCCGTCAATATCCTTTGCTCGGAATCGCTTCACAAAATGCCCACGTGTAGTAGTAATAATAATAATACTTCTCAGGGATGCTAACGCTTTGAGCGCAGGACTTTACAATCTCCTGGCGCGGCATTTGTTGCCGATGCCAAAGTTGATCAAAGCCCCCGTTTCGTAAACCAAAAGTTAAGCTCAATTTGTGCACCACTGTCGATCGCAGGGCCACGTGTGGGTGGGGTAAAGTGTGGGTACTCCCACCTCGTCTATGAGCGGTTCTCTGAGCTCACCTTCAGGGGATGCCCTTCCTCTACCGTGGCATCAAGGCTGCACCTTTTAACTATTCTACACACTTTTATTTATTTTTTTAAACTCGCAGTCGTTTTAATCTGCGCGCGTCATTTACGCTTTGGCTCGTGTCCTGAACGTCACAAGTTGAGCATTGTTAGCAATGCATTTATTTATTTTGTGAGCAGATTATATACGTGTTTGGTAATTTTCACACATGCAGACTTGTTCTAGAGTTTACATATATATAGTATACCTCGATTACCAAAATAATCTCTAAAACAGTGTATTTCCGTACATTATAATTTTAAATGGATTTCAGGAATAATGAAACAAATATCAGGACGAGGTTTATTTTAAGTGCGCACGCCGCAACAGCCATGCCAGATGTTCCAGTGGGACTCTGCCAATCCAGTTGATTGTTTTTATTAGACTTGTATTATTATTATTCATCATCATCATCATTATTATTATTCAAGAACCCAAAGACATGGATGACAGTCCGGAGAAATACGTCCTCAAGTCGGGAGGGCATCAACGGGAGGCACTTTGGGCCCAATGCCCGACTACCATCGTGGGGGAGCAGTAGATTTGTTGGGCAGGGAAAATGAGGCAATCCGGTGAGCTATGAAGCTCTTTTTCACATGTCCAGTAGGGGCACGTGGTCAGAAGGTTACAACAACAAACGGTACAAAAACACGATAGGAGTGCAAAGTATAGGAAAATGAGGAAATCACTCAAACAAAAAAAACATTACAAATTAAACGAAACTAATTTTATTTTACCAGGTAAGGCCTCAATGAGCTCTTGGCTCCTTTTTCAGAAGCGACCTGGCCATCACGAATGATAAGCTCAACGAAGTGGCTTATCATGTGGAAGTTTATAGCAGCAAAATAATCTTTAGAGGGAGAGGGGAGCGGGAGACGATAACAAACAACAAAACAAACAACGGAAATAAAATAACACAAACGCGATGCCCGAACTTATCAATATTGTATTCCCCTACGAAATGGTGGAGCGTCAAGAGACCCATTGCCCTCCCCCCCCCACCCCCTCTCTCTCGTCCTGATCCCCCAATTTTTCTGGCCGTTCATGCTGGCTTCAAAAAGAAACGGGGATGCACGTCGCCTCCTCTGGTAGTACAGTCAATTGAGTGATCGATAGTTTTCCCACAAAAGGGTACACGCGTTGTGTTGTGAGCCACATGCTACGATATTTGTATAAATCCTGCGACGGCTCACCTTTTATAAAGGTCGTATTATTTGAATACGAAATTCTATGCTTATCTCACCATTGTAACCTCAACCAACCTTGCGTATGCTCTTTTCCCCCCTTTCTGTCTGTCCTGAGATAATAAGCGCTTCGGTGACCTTTCACTGCAACGTAAAGGGTCATTTATCCCAGCATGAATGCTTAACACGGATACTTGTTGTAGTCAATATTTTCATTCTCGAATTCTGCAGGCTTAGCTGGATGCACAATACTAACTGTGCAGAATACTTAGCCTACATCAACTAAAACGCCTCAATGAGCAGTCATCTTCCTACACAATTAGAATCAGAGCATTCTCTTGAACTAAAATGCAAAAAAAAACCGAATAAACAAGTGATCTGATAACCAATTACCGTTCTGTGAACTCGAACACTCTTCAGTGAATGCATTTATCGCAGCAAAGTGACACAAATTATCCAAATCCAGGCAGGCAAGAAGCATATGGCAGTGAACTGATGAGGGATAATTACACAAAGATGTGTAAAATCACGATTTTGTCAGTTGTTTGGTAAATGGCGAAAGTAGTCTATTTACATGTAAAAATATGCCTTTTTCAGCAGGTTCCCCCCTTCCCCCCACGAATAAATATAACTCATTACGCGAGGTTTTTGACTCCGGAAACAAAACACATGCGCATTCCTCTTGGGCGCCCACGTTCGCCTAGAGGTGAGGCAGTCTGCCGGCCCTGCAGTGGTTGGGATTCGCGTTCTAAATCGCCACCACCCCTGCAAGTCTGAAACGGTCAAGCCGTCCCCCCCCCCCCCCCCCCCCCCCGTATAGCCTTAACAGACTGTTGGGACAAGTGCTGTTAGCGAGCACCTACTAAGGCCGGCACGGCACACGAGGGGATGGGTGGCCAGCACCGCGCCCGGCCGCCTTTGCCTCCCCGATGGTGACGTTGACACACCGCTACCAGGTACTCATTTGAGGCTAACTCGACCTAGGGGAGGCGCACGAGCGATTCAGATAATCGTCACTGGCGTTGGCCCATGAGCGGAAATCGAACTCGGGTTGCCAGTTCTCTAAGCGCGGCGCGCTAACCGCTACTCCTTGCTGATCTCGTCAAGGAATATAAACCATCACGCGAACTCCAGTTATCCTCGCAGCGGCTTTTGGCTCGACATTGAACAAAGACGGTCACCGCATTGCACGCTTTCGGATGCGCTTCTGCGGCCGTCTGGAACGCTCTTCCTTCCGATATTTGGAAGCCACCGGAACTACGTACTTTTAAATCTAAATTGAACGCTCATTTCTTTAAAACTGCCTTTTGCTGTTTAGCTTGTTGCCCTTCCCCCGCACCTCCGATGAGCACGGTTGGCTACGTACGGCGCAAAAGAAGTTCAACATACACACATACATACTCGCCATGGGTACCGCACACGACGCGCGTGACTCGCCTGCATATGTAGTTGCTTTTGCACTTGTTGTTGAGGCTCAGGCAGTTGGCCCGTTCGGGCTCCTCGTAGGAGCACGCGGGCACGATGGTCTTCCGCCGTCGCTCGGTGCACGCGAACTCGGCGCACGGGCAGAAGAGCATCCCGTGCGTCGAGTTGGCCGGCACGCGCTCGAAGAACTGCCGCAGGGCCTGGTGGCACTCGCGCCGGCGGCATACGTCCCCCTTGGGGGTGCACGTCTTCACGTACTCGTTCTTGAAGCGCGAGCACGCCTCCTCCAGGTTGCACGCTTTGGCCGCCGCCAGGCACGCGTTGCCCGACGTCGGGACGGCCGGGGGCCCTGCGGCGAGAGTGGTCGCGTCCGTTAGGCCTCGAGGCGGGCGGGCGAGCAGAGCGGCGGTCGCGACGCGCAAAGGTTAGCGCACGCACACGCGCACCTTGGACTTGCAAGCCCAGAGGTGGCCCGGTTCGATTGCGCCTCCCAAGCGTGGCGGTTTTGACATTGGCGTGAGTTTTTCATAAATACCTCGCACACCCCCCACCCCCCAGCCAGTACCCCGTGCTCCTGTCCACCCAGCAATTGAAATGGATAAAGCCGCGGTTATTCGCTCGGTAGATCGCGAGCTGTGGGGTAAAATGTGGGTACCTCCAAGACGTGGCCAGCATGAAGTGTAAGGCCACATCCCCTATAGAGGGAACTCTCTAGAGCTCCCTCGAGTGAAAGACCCTTCTGCCAACAGTGGCGTGAGTGAGCAATTTCAGCGCTGCACCTTTACCTTTACGATAAGGTCAAAAAGGTCAAGTCACAGTGGTGCTTATCTCCTGTTTAAAGACCTGTGCCAGGGGAGGAAATACCGCATTCCGCTGGTGGAGGCGAGGCTATCCCCAGGGTTACCAATGTTGGCTTCTTACAAGTGGGACTCGTGTTGTTAGCTTTAGTCAAGTTTAGTGGAATGCAAGACTGAATCGACGGTGATCAGGATTCAAACTCATAACCTTCTGATTACCGGATGTGCGCTCGAACCACTGCACTACCGAGTTGCATTGTTGAAATTGAAAGCTCTCCAAATTTTCAAAAAAACAATGCAATTCTAATATAGGCGTGTGGAATGTGCCGATGTAGAAGAGTTCTCACATCATTAGTGTTACAATGTACATTAGCCAAGTTTTTTTATACGGATATTGTACACGTAATAGCAGATACATTTACGTTTAATTTGGAACATAAAAATTACATGATTTACAGGATTAATGTTCCATCTAATTTGTATTCACATGTGTTATGGACGAAGATATTATTAATGAGTTTGTTTCATGCAAATACGCAATGTTTCAAATGACAGTCTTTCTTCTTTGTGAGGATTCACATTTATTCATGCTCACAAACTTCATCTATATCTCCCATTTTAAAATATGTTTTATTAAGCATTGGATTGTGTTATTGACTTAAGTTGAACCCCATATGTACCCTAAGCACACAGGCAGCCAGCTTCCAGGTAGTAAGTAAATCTGTGTTGTGACTGAGCATTGAGTCTGAATACCTATCAGCAATCATAATGATGGCAATGCAATAGCGACAGTGGCATATTTCAATTATTTATCACAATATAAAAGTTTATTATTCTGCCTTTCAAATGCAACATTAATTCGGAATATCAAAAGCATAATTTCATCCCAGTTGAAGGTGGCACAGTGGTTGGTCTGCTAAGGTCAAGTTGCTAAGGCCAACTTGCCTTAACGTAGTTTACGATTTGGAAAATCTAAAGGTAATTTGTTATATATACACACGGCGGTCAGAACTGCTGTTTATCCATGGCTAAATGAGTTAAAGATATCCTGCTCCCGCACTTCGAGGGTAATTCAGGATGTAAACACCATTTGTTTGATATGACTCCCTTTGAGCTTTCAACCACTCGCATTACAGGTGGCCCAAGGCATCACAGGTGGCCCAACTCATTACAGGTGGCCCAACTCGTTACAGGTGGCCCAACTCGTTATACAGTGAGGGAAAAAGTATTTGATCCCCTGCTGATTTTGTACGTTTGCCCACTGACAAAGAAATGATCAGTCTATAATTTTGATGGTAGGTTTATTTGAACAGTGAGAGACAGAATAACAACAACAAAAATCCAGAAAAACGCATGTCAAAAATATTATGATTTGCATTTGAATGAGGGAAATAAGTATTTGACCCCTCTGCAAAACATGACTTAGTACTTGGTGGCAAAACCCTTGTTGGCAATCACAGAGGTCAGGCGTTTCTTGTAGATGGCAACCAGGTTTGCACACATCTCAGGAGGGATTTTGTCCCACTCCTCTTTGCAGATCTTCTCCAAGTCATTAAGGTTTCGAGGCTGACGTTTGGCAACTCGAACCTTCAGCTCCCTCCACAGATTTTCTATGGGATTAAGGTCTGGAGACTGGCGAGGCCACTTCACGACCTTAATGTGCTTCTTCTTGAGCCACTCCGTTGTTGCCTTGGCCGTGTGTTTTGGGACATTGCCATGCTGGAATACCCATCCACGACCAATTTTCAATACCCTGGCTGAGGGAAGGAGGTTCTCACCCATGATTTGACGGTACATGGCCCCGTCCATCGTCCCTTTGATGCAGTGAAGTTGTCCTGTCCCCTTAGCAGAAAAACACCCCCAAAGCATGTTTCCACCTCCATGTTTGACGGTGGGAATGGTGTTCTAGGGGTCATAGGCAGCATTCCTCCTCCTCCAAACATGGCGAGTTGAGTTGATGCCAAAGAGCTCCATTTTGGTCTCATCTGACCACAACACTTTCACCCAGTTGTCCTCTGAATCATTCAGATGTTCATTGGCAAACCTCAGACGGGCATGTATATGTGCTTTATTGAGCAGGGGGACCTTGCGGGCGCTGCAGGATTTCAGTCCTTCACGGCGTAGTGTGTTACCAATTATTTTCTTGGTGACTATGGTCCCAGCTGCCTTGAGATCATTGACAAGGCCATCCCGTGTAGTTCTGGGCTGATTCCTCACCGTTCTCATGATCATTGCAACTCCACGAGGTGAGATCTTGCATGGAGCCCCAGGCCGAGGGAGATTGACAGTTATTTTGTGTTTCTTCCATTTGCGAATAATCGCACCAACTGTTATCACCTTCTCACCAAGCTGCTTGGCAATGGTCTTGTAGCCCATTCCAGCCTTGTGTAGGTCTACAATCTTGTCCCTGACATCCTTGGAGAGCTCTTTGATCTTGGCCATGGTGGAGAGTTTGGAATCTGATTCATTGATTAATTGCTTCTGTGAACAGGTGTCTTTTATACAGGTAACAAGCTGAGATTAGGAGCACTCCCTTTAAGAGTGTGCACCTAATCTCAGCTAGCTACCTGTATAAAAGACACCTGGGAGCCAGAAATCTTTCTGATTGAGAAGGGGTCAAATATTTATTTCCCTCATTAAAATGCAAATCAACTTATAACATTTTTGACATGCGTGTTTCTGGATTTTGTTGTTGTTATTCTGTCTCTCACTGTTCAAATAAACCTACCATTAAAATTATAGACTGATCATTTCTTTGTCAGTGGGCAAACGTACAAAATCAGCAGGGGATCAAATACTTTTTCCCTCACTGTAGTGTGGCCCAAATTGTTACAGGTGGTCCAACAACGCGTTACAGGTGGTCCAACAACGCATTACAGGCGGTCCAACAAAGCATTACAGGTAGCCCAAGGCATCACAGGTAGCCCAACTAGTTACAGGTGGCCCAACGCATTACAAGTGGCCCAACTCGTTACAGGTGGCCCAAGGCATCACAGGTGGCCCAACTCGTTACAGGTGGCCCAACGCATTACAAGTGGCCCAACTCGTTACAGGTGGCCCAACGCATTACAAGTGGCCCAACTCGTTATAGGTGGCCCAAGGCATCACAGGTGGCCCAACTCGTTACAGGTGGCCCAACGCATTACAAGTGGCCCAACTCGTTACAGGTGGCCCAACTCGTTATAGGTGGCCCAAGGCATCACAGGTGGCCCAACTCGTAATAGGTGGCCCAACGCATTACAAGTGGCCCAACTCGTTACAGGTGGCCCAACTCGTTATAGGTGGCCCAAGGCATCACAGGTGGCCCAACGCAAGCGCGAACTCGCACTTACAATTGCAACCAACAGGCGGCTTTGGAATTAGCTGCTAGAAAACGGCTTCCTTGGAGGGGGAATCTGCCAAAGAGGCTGCTGCTTTTGTTGCCTCCTGTATAGATTCGGGGCCCACGTCTGGCTCCACCCGTTCCTTGTCTGTGACACCACACGTCGCAGAAGCTCACTGAGCGCAAGTAATCAAGCTCAGGTGTGTGCTATCGATGTAAATATTAATCTGCAATGTTAATGGATACAAGGGGTGGGGGGGGTGGTGTTTGTGTTTTTTTTATTCACAGTTGTATATAAATTATTTGATGCGGACGCGGGTGTTAATGGTTAGCGCATAACAGGATTTGCAATTCAGAGGTCTTCGCTTCGATCTCCTGGCGTGGCGGTTTAAACAATGGGGCAAGTTTATTGAATCCACCCCGCCACCGCCTCTGCCCACCTCAGCACCAAAATGTGGAGTACACGACAGTTGTTAGTCAATCGGAAGGTCACGTGGTGTTGTGGGTAAGCTGTGAGTACTCCCACACCCTTATTCCGTGGAAGAGTAGGGCAAATACCCTCTCTAGAGCGGTTCTCTAGGGCCCCCTCTAGTGACAGCCGCAGATGCTACCAGTGGCGTTAGCAAGACATTGCGGGGCTACGTGGAAGCAAGCGGTTACTTGGCTTGAATACGGCAAGAAGTGGTCAAATCGGCATGACGCGCGTGACAGGGTATGCTTGCTTAAAGATATTTCACAATGGTATAATGACATTTTAATACATTAGCATACTACATTTGCTCATTATATCGGTGTGACATTCAGGGAATTTGAAAGTTAAAGTATGCTAAATACTGTATGAACATTTAATTAAATTCTAAGTTGTTGCATAATACAAGCTAAAATGCTGCAACATTTGTGAGAAAAAAAATTGGCAGAGGGTGGGTGGGAAATAAACTTTATGAAAAGGATCAAAATGTTGAACGAATATTTTCCTACGAACACAATTCTTTATAGAACCCCCCTCTCCGCCTTACCCCACCCCTTTAAAAAAGAGAGAGAGAGAGAGAACGGCCAACCCCGTGAAATTCCAACTTCAGCCTGTAATTAAGGACGCGTACGGCCTGCAACGTCGGACTTGGTAACATTTATTGTTGGAGCGTGCCATGATCCTGGCAAAACGTGAATTCCATTTTTTATTTTCTCATGGCGCTGATGTAAAGAACAGATGTGCGCGATGGGTTACGCACGTGCTTGAAATGGAAATTAAGATAAACTTGTTAATCCGTGCGATGCGAGAGAGGTCTTGTACGAGTTACTTGTCCAACTGAAAAAAGTTTACTGGGCAATTGTCGATAGCCCTGCTACAAATGTATTTACTGTACAGTTTTCTGATGTGCTCATGTGTCCATATATACTGCAACGTTGTTTTGATGTATACTGTTCATTCTTCTGGGCATCCCAGGGGAATGCCGGTACAATGTACGCTGCGTGGCAGTTTGAAATAATGGCGCACATTTCTTAAAACGCCACCAACCGCCTCTGTTCACCGGGCAGTATAATTGGGTGCACCAAAGTGAACCAACAGGTTGTGTGGGGTAAAGTGTGAGTACTGCAATCCCTTCCAACATGTCTGGTCAGCGTGGAAGAGTAGGACAAAATACCCTCGAGAGGTGCTTTCTGGAGGCTCTCTCGAGTGAAGGCTCCATCCGACAGCAGTGGCATGAGCGGGCTATTGCAGGGCTGCGCCTTTACCCTTTTAGGAGTCTCGTTTAGGTCAGGGGTCGAGTCAGCCCTTCATACCCCTGTGGAGTTGATGAAGTGAGTACCACTTTGTGGGAAGTCAACAGTGGTCGTAACGTGGGAAACACTGGTCCCTGTCATTGGAATGTGGAATTTCACAATTGTGTCAGTGCTGTTAATACGAAATTAGCATTGCTCAGAAACCACATTTGAGCTATTCGGTTAATACCGGAGTGAGTGATGGACTGATGTAAATTCTAATGGTGTTCTACAAGGGATATAATGTAAACGTAGAAAAAAGGTATACAGTCGAAGTTTCTGTTAATCAGTAGAACATTAAAAAGCAAAATATTTTGATTTTGAGCCCCTTTTAAAATTCTGGGATCAACCTATATATTTTTTATTACATTATGTTGTTATTGAGCCTGGGCCAATGCATTGCATTTGGAGGTTTTGGATTCTGAATCCAGGCACGACTGCAGATGTCCCCAGGTAGTCGTGCGATGAATCCGACGCCAAAGAGGCCAGAAGGCAGTCAAGAGCCGCTGCTTCAAGTTGCACGCAAGCAGTGGAACGCATTCGGGACGCCATCTACCCAGGAGATGGGGTTGAAGAGGAAACCACGTGTGTAGGTGCACTGTCACATTGGAGGAGCGTGCACGATGGCAACAGCTTGGGAAGTAAGCATTCATCCAGTAGTGTATTGACCACGGATGATGATGATGATGTTGATGATGGGCTAAGCTCACATTTTGTTAATTAGCACTGTGCTCATATGCCGCACTATCGCATCTGTGTGTCACCGTGCTTACATTAAGGCCAGATATCTTATCTATTAAAGGGCCGTTTGTATGCGATTGCGAGTTTTGGACCGAGTCCACCCTTTTCTGCGGGTGGGGGGGGGGGGATCCCTCTCAGTGCTCACCTGCCGCGAGTGCCTGCAGCCGGTACGTGACGGGCTCGTAAGGGGAGCTTCCGTAGATGTGATCACCTGCCAACAACAACAACAACAACAAAAAACAACGTACGAGGAGATTGCAACACCCTTGGCGACTGAAATTAATTCGGCGCAAACAAAGCAACACGCGCTCGGTACAAAGCAACACGCGCTCGGCAAGCATCGTCTCCCCCCCCCCTTGCCGCTGCTGGCAAACAGCCAGAAGCTAGACTCGGGGACACAACACACACACACACAAACAATTTCATACATCAACGTTGAGCGTCGGCACACCATGTGTGGCAGTACGGAACCCGTGCCATAGAAACGTGGCGTTTTTTGAAGCACTCGCTCGGCACCGTGGAACGAACGCGTCATCGGGGAGAGAAATACCGAATATGTTACATGTTGACTTTTATGATGATATCGCTCCGTATGTGAGTGCTCGCGTGCGTGTGTCTCTGTGTGTGTGTCTCACGGCCAACACCGGTGACGATTATCTGTACCGGTCCTGGGTCTCCCCCTAGGTCGACTCAGCCTCAAATGAGTAACTGGTGCGATGTGAAAAAAAACGCTACTAAGGAGACAAAGGCGGCCGTGCGTGTGCCGTGCCGACCTGCATAGGTGTTCGCTAACAGCACTTGCCCCTACAGTCTGTTAAGGCTATACGGGGGGTCTTTGTCTTTGTTGTCTGTGTATGTGTGGTGGCGTAGCGGAGCGGTGGCACAGTGGTTAGCGCACTGCACGACTCAACCCAGTTCCGATTCTTGGCCACGGCTAACATCAGTGGCGAGTGATATCTGACCAATTGAATGCCTCCCCCCTAGGTCAATTTCAGCCTTTAAATAGTACCAAGTGCGGCGTGTAAACATGAGCACTGGGGAGACAAAGGCGGCCGGTGCTTAGGGCTGGGAAAACCATCTCCTCGTGCGTCGTTTTGCCCTTAATAGGGGGGCTCGCCTACAAACACTTAGTGTGGCACTGGCACCACCTCCCGCCCCACCGAACAAGGCTATGTCGGCTAACATAAGATGGCACGGCACGGCCAGGCAGAAATCCAAAACGTTCGTTACAGGAGTTGTTGCAGCCCGGGGGGGGGGGGGGGGAGGGCGCATTGCAAAGCGATGGCAAATGGTCTCGTGTGACATCACACCCCACCCCCTTGATGCGGGGGGCTCGCTTTATGCCTGGGGCTCATTTTCAAAAAAAGCCACCACCATCAAAGACAAAGATCCCACGTATAGCCTGTACAGGCTGTTAGCGAGCACCTATGAAGGCTGGAACGGCACACGAGGGGGTGGGTGGCCAACACCACGCCCGACCGCCTTTGTCTCCCCAGTGGCGATGTTTACACACCGCACCAGGCACTCATTTGAGGCTGAGTCGACCTAGGGGAGGCCCAGGACCGGTTCAGATAATCGTCACCGGTGTTGGCCGTTGAGCGGGAATCGAACTCGGGTCGGCAGGTTCGTAGCGCAGCGTAGTGCTAACCACTACACCCACCGCTCCCCACCACCACCACCAACCCCCACCCACTCGCTCGCGAGGACCCGAGTAACTGTCTGACGACGCAGGAACACGCAGTGAAGGTCGTCGGCACGTGTCCCTTGGGCACGCGGGACACAGGCGGTGGGGGCAGGGTGGTCACTTATCATCACCTGCCACCAGACATTGCCAGTGGTCCTTGTTTTCAAAATATGTATTTGGTGGGGCATTGTTAATAGGTCACATTTTAAGTTATTGATTTTTCACCAACAACGTATCCCGCGCTCCCCCTCCCCAGTAGTCACATCCCTCAATCGTCACCACAACCACCACCACCACCACAAGGGTGTTCCGCGGTTCCTGCGTAGCAGTAAAGCATATTCACTTTTACGAGTTGTACCTTACAAAGTAATTGGGTCCATTATTTTATTTGGGCGGCTTCTCTCCCTTTCAATGGCCATGTATAGGGCTCACGCCTCGCATGCCCTGGTTAATCATCGCCGCTACGCGGGCTAATATTTTATCATCGCATCTGCGAGCCAACGTCGCGAGAGCGATTTGAGTTCCCTGACCTTACCCAAGCGTAAAAAAAAATCCACATTACGCACAGCCCTCGATGAATAACGAGCGTCCGAATGCTACAGGCGCAATGCAGGTGCAATAATAAATCCAAGGCACTTATGTTGAACTTCTTTCGCACCGTACGTAGCCAACCGTAATAATCGGAGGCGCGGGGGAAGGACAACAACAAAACAGCAGTGGTCCGAGCCATGATCAATCGAAACACCGGCGGGGCGCGTGTAATATGAATGTTGATTTGCAGCACCTTGCTCTCGAATGCGGAATGGGTTTTCGCCACTGCAGCGAGTGGCCCACGAATGTAGCTCATTTATTCTTGAATGCGCCATAAGGGGACATTCTGGCGTTTCAAAGCTGTCACATGTTTCCAAGTTGTCACAGTTTCTCCACTCCGGAGGACCGAAAAAAGTATTGGAATTTCCTTTGAAACAAAAAAAAGTCCACAGATAATGCAATCTAAAGAGACGGTCGCGTCATGGATCTGTGAGTGGTGGTGGTTATGGCATGGGGAGGGCTTAATCCAGCAGTGGATTGATCATGGCCACTACTACTGCTGCCATTGATGCTGACGATTACACTAATCCTGCAGCGTGCGTCTCCCCGTTTGTGAATTGTGAAGGCGCTCGCTCTCTCGACGATCACAACTGCCCCAAACGCAGACAATTAGGGGAGTGACCAATGCACACACGAGGGAGGACACTGGAGCTGCACGTTACACGTGGCGCGGGGGGGGGGGGGGGGGGGCTGAGCCAGGGCCAGTGCGCTTTGCAATTACACCACAATTAGTTGAAAAGGAAATGTGACAATCGCCTCCGAGGCCGCGGCGCATGATGCGCATGTCGTCGTTCGCAGGGCGTGGGGGGGAGAGAGAGCGAGCGAGCGAGAGAGGCCACATTCATCAGCCAGCGCGTATCGTCATCACGCAACCAACCCTCCCTCCCTCCCCGTGCCTTTCAATAAAGCTCAATAACAAAGACAAGCAAATGTAAAGAAGCGAGCGGCGTGCCGACCGCGTTGTTGACACCGTTTTCTGTGGGGTCGTGCGGGCCGCGCGCGTGCATCACGGTGGAGTTTGCAGGGCTCCGGGGAGCCACCGACGAGCGCGAGATGGACTGGACGCGCCTGAGCGAATGACCGCCGCGTATCCCAGTATTATTGGACGTGGGTCATTAATTGTGGCAAACCTCGGGACTGTTATGCATGCACGTGACCAACAGTGCCGTTGCATTATCGCCGCTTCCACGCTGATTGGCGGAGGGCCCTACGGTTAATGTTCCGGTGCGGCAGGGGTAAGAGGTGCGAGCGAGACACACACGGATGAGAAATGCGCCGTGAAACGGGACACATCGACGCAGTGATTCCATTTAGCTTGGATGCTATAATGAAGACACTGCGAATGAATTACAAAGACAAAGACCCCCCCCCCCCCCACCCCGTATAGCCTTAACAGACTGCTGGGCCAAGTGCTGTTAGCGAGTAGCACCCTATGAAGACCCCGAGGGGTTTGTGGATGACCAGCAATCACGACCGACCGCCTTTGTCTCCCTCGTGACGACGTTTAGACATCGCATCAGGTACTCATCTGAGGCTTAGTCAACCTCGCGGACGCCGAGGAACGTTTGAGATAATCGTTTGAGATAATCGCTTGAGATAATCGCTTGAGATAATCGTTTGAGATAATCGCCACTGGTGTTGGTCGTGAGCGAGGTTCGAACTCAGGTAGCCGCGTTAGTGACGCAGCGCGCTAACCGCTACGCTACCGCTCCCAACTGAGGAATGAATCACGGGACAGCATGCACGGCACTCACTCGCTGGCCTCCGCGCGTGTACTTGCACGCGGACCGACACGACTGGTTTTGCCATTAGTAAGGAACCCCTGGAGCGGTGTCGTGGTGGTTCGCCGGCTGTCGCTCTGAACTAAGCGTGACCTCGGTTTCATTCCTCGGCCACGGCAAACAAATCCCTGCTTTCATCCGTACCCAATAATTCACCAAACCCGCAATGGCCAGCGTGCTGAAGTATGTCCTGGTTTTGCCACTAATTCCTTTGTCAAGCGTTTTGCTTCCTCCCACACAGCTTAAAGGACGCGACCTGGGCTTGGCTGTCTTCACTCCAACGCTGTCCTCATGACAGCACGGTCCCTTCACCTGATGAAGGCCACTTGTGTTGAGGCCGAAACGTCGTGATTTTTGTTATTTTATTTTTACCTACGTGACTTTACCGAATAGAACCAAAGAGTATGTCCAAACAGCCCCTCTCCCACGACCGACAAGGCATGACGAAGCCTTCATCCAGCAGCGGAGAGATCAAGGGCTCTAGGAGGGAATCCCCTCGACTGCAGGAGGCGCGCGCGCGACACGTGACGGCTGTTCGCCCGGGTATCTTCTGGCGGCGAGACCCCAAGTCAACAGGGCGGATTGCCACAAATCTAAATATAATGAGAACACATCACGAATAACGAATCTCTTTACATCTCTGAGCGTATGTCTCAGGCGTCGCTTTGAAGAAGTCGTGGTAGTTAAAAAAAAAGGAATGGAGCACCGTTGATATGAGTCGACATTCTCCCCAAGGTGTCCTTGAAAAAGAAAGAGTGCCATAATTGTGCGCAGTTTGAACACACACAGAAGGATAAAGATTCCCCGTATGGTCGTTCACAGACTGTTGGGGCAAGTGATGTTAGCGAGCACCTATGAAGGCCGGAATGGCACACAAGGGGTTGGGTGATCAGCACCACACCCGGCCGCCTTTGTCTCCCTCGTGGCGATGTTTACGCATCCATCACACCGGGTACTCATTTGAGGCTGAGTCGACCCAGAGGAGACCCAGGAGCGGCTCGGAAAATCGTCACCGGTGTTGGCCGTGAGCGCGGGAATCGAATTCTGCTCTCCGGGTTCGTAGCGCAGCGTAGCGCTAACCACTACACTACCGCTCCCCCCGCACTTAGAGAGACACACGCAGACACACGCCACACAGCAGCACCCACGCAGCCACGCGCGCGCGTCTCTCTCGCTCTCTCTCTCTCTCTCCGCGCACGCTGGTGGTGGTGGGGAGCCGGCGCGCCATCCCCCACCTTGCACGAATCCCTGATGGATGCTCCAGTAGATGCGCAGGCAGTGCTTCTCTTTCTTCATCCCACGGCGGCAGCGGCAATCGGAGAGGGGCCCCGCTTGCAGCGCCTCGGCCGCGCTCACGCACTCGTTGCGCGCGTCGGGACCCAGCAGCATCTCGCCGCTGCCCGCCAGGCACTGTCGCAGCGTGCGCAGCGTGCTGCTGCACTTGAGGTCGGCGGTGCACAGCTCGTTGCCCTTGACGCAGTCGACCCGAGGGGTCGTGTGGACCGCCGAGGCCGCGGCGTGGCTGGCCCCGCGCAGGGCGGGCAGGGCCCCCGCGGCGGTCTTCACCGCCGCGGCCCCGACGCCGCCGACGCCGCCGCCGCCAGATGCTCTCCAGGCGGTCGCGGCAGAGCCAGACGCGGCGAAGTAGCTGTCTGTGAACGGGTGTGAGTGTGTGAGTGAGTGTGTGTGAGTGAGTGTGTGTGAGTGTGTGTGAGTGAGAGTGAGTGTGTGTGAGTGAGTGTATGTGAGTGAGTGTGTGTGAGTGAGTGTATGTGAGTGTGTGAGTGAGTGCGTGTGAGTGTGTGTGAGTGAGTGAGTGTGAGTGAGTGTGTGCGAGTGAGTGCGTGTGAGTGTGTGAGTGAGTGTGTGAGTGCTTGTGAGTGTGTGTGAGCGAGTGTGAGTGCGTGTGAGTGAGTGCGTGTGAGTGTGTGTGAGTGCGTGTGAGTGAGTGCGTGTGAGTGTGTGCGAGTGTGAGTGAGTGCGTGTGAGTGTGTGAGTGAGTGCGTGTGAGTGTGTGAGTGAGTGTGAGTGTGTGCGTGTGAGTGTGTGTGAGTGTGTGCGTGTGAGTGTGTGTGAGTGCGTGTGAGTGTGTGTGAGTGTGTGAGTGCGTGTGTGTGAGTTATTGTGTGAGTGCGTGTGAGTGTGTGAGTGAGTGTGTGTGAGTGCGTGTGTTTTTGTGAGGCGTTTGAGTGTGTGAGTGCGTGCGTGTGAGTGAGTGTGTGTGAGTGCGTGCGTGTGTGAGTGTGTGAGTGCGTGTGAGTGTGTGTGAGTGTGTGAGTGTGTGTGTGAGTGCGTGTGAGAGTGAGTGTGTGTGAGTGTGTGTGTGAGTGTGTGTGAGTGTGTGAGTGAGTGTGTGAGTGAGTGAGTGTGTGAGTGAGTGTGTGAGTGAGTGTGTGTGTGTGAGTGTGTGAGTGAGTGTGTGTGCGAGTGAGTGTGTGAGTGTGTGTGGAGCGGTAAACGTAGCGGTTAGTGGCGCTGCGCGACGAACACGACTTCAATTCCCGCTCACGGCCGACATCGGTGACGAATATGTGAACCGGTCGTGGGCTTTCGCCTAGGTCGACTCAGCCTCAAATAAGTACCTGGTGTGATGGGTAAACAAAAATAGCCACTGGGGAGACAAAGGCGGCCGGGCGTGGTGCTGGCCACCCACCCCTTCGTGTGCCGTGACCCCTTCATAGGTGTTCGCTAACAGCACTTGCCTCAGCCGTCTGTTTAGGCTATACGGGGGATCTTTGTCCCTGTAGTAGTTAGTGGCGCTGCATTAAGAACCTGGTCACCAGAGTTAAACACCCGCACACGGCCAACATGACGAATATCTCAATCGGCCCTTGGTCTGCACCTGATCGACTCAGCCTTAAGCTTAGTGCGGTGCATAAACGTCGTCGCTGGGGAGCCAAAGACGGCCCGGTGCGAGTCTGGCCTCACCACCCCTCTCGTAAGCCGGGATCGGCCTTAAATAGGTGCCCGCTGACATCACTTGTCCAAACGGGTCCGTTAAGGCTGTAAATTGTCGGCCTTAATTACTGAACTTGCTCACCATCATCAGCTGCACGTGGTACTTGAATCTGTACAGGGCCTCTCCCAGGTCCACTCAGCCTTCGATGAGTGCCGGGTGCGCTTAGGCGGCAGCGGCAGCAGCATCACTGGGGGACCATGGAGGTTGGCCGCGGAATCTGAACACATCGCGTCGCCTGTTGCGATGTTGCGAGCCAAAATAGGTGCTCGCTAACAACAGCCTCGGTCGGGCCCTTTAGCGCGCCCGTTGCATTTTCGTCGAGCGCATGTCAAGGATCCGCCGATGGGTCGCCACGGGGGAAGATGTGCTGTCCCCATGGCGCGGGTTGCTTTTTCTCGCCGGCCGTCTGAGCTTTGCGTTAAATACATCAGCGGGTAATTTAGACACGAAGCCAATTGTCTAACGAGCTGCACAATAGCGCCACTTGCTCGTGCAATTAGCGATTCCAATCACGGGAGTGTTTTCGGAGAGGCATTTCCTATACCTCTTCCGCTAAAAGTGTCCCCCCCCCTGCTGCGTTGCGCATGCATTTGTGTGGTCGAGTGACATCGGTGCGCTTCCCGTAGATGCATTCACGCGGCTTCAAAGCCGTCGTCGAGTATCCTTGATCCTACCGCTTCTTTTTACGGTTTGGGTTTAAAAGCCATATCTCACGACGAGTTCATGAATAAAACATTCTGCGATGGAAAACTGGTGGAAGAAAGAAAAAAAAATACCCACCCCCATCACGATCTTACAAGCAAAGCAAAGGCTTTGTCAGGGCAGCATTGCCCCCCTAAAACACCGGGTTACCATTCTACACGCACATCGCATGCGTGGAGAATGGTAGCCCGGTGTGCCCCTTCCTCCGCCCGAGAAGCTGCTGCTGCTGTTGCTGCTCTCTCTCTTTCTCTGTGAGTGTGGCACCGATGATAGGCGCAACAGAGGTTTTGCGGGTGCGATCCACTTCTGTCAAAGCCGTGTTTGTTTATTTGTAGACACTCTACTAGACCGGCGTGTGTGTGTGTGTGCGTGTGCTTGAACACCTTTTTCTTATTATTTTAATATACGTATTTTTAAAAACTCGTTTAAAAATAGAAACACGCGCATAATTCTGCTACAGTCCACTGTTGTATGTGCCACGTAGCACGCTCCCTTTAAGCTAAGTAAACGTTTGCTGACTAACATCTAAAAAAAATACGACATTAATTTACAAGGAAATCGCGTTCTTTGGACCGGCGATTCACGTTCACCATCATGCGAACCCAATCTATGGGGCATCATCGACATCGGTCAAGGGCCAAGAGGCGCGAACTTTACGGTGACTGCGAGTGTTGTGCATCGCTCGTCGCTCACCTGCCAGAGGAAGAGTGGCTCCGAGCACGACTATGGCGATGGCGCAAATGAAATCCATCTTCTCGCAGGTGGAGGAGGAGGAGGAGGCAGCTGAGAAGGCGCGCTCACGGTCAGGTCCCAGTTTTGCGAAGAGCTCAAAGTAATTTTAGTGGCTGCAAATGGACGTCGGCCCCTTTTCGTTAATTCCAGCGCTGTGGTGAACGGCGAGGAGCACAGCGAGGACGCAACTCAGTGCTGGGCTGACGCTGCGCCTGCAGCCGTCCATGGTCCGTTTGGGGGCCCCCTCCGCGCTCCTCCAGCCTCTCCGACGCGCGATGCGTCCGGCGACTCTCCCTTCCCTGCGATTCTCGTCTTCCTTCAACGGGGGCTTAACGTTCCTCCTTTATCACTCTCTCTCTCCTCTCTCTCTTTCTCTGTCACTTTACCCCCGTTCTCACTTGTGTGCGGCTGCTGCTGCTGCTGGCGCTGTTGTGTTTGTCTTGCTGCCCTGCTCCTTACACTTTGCGCCGTGTTCTAATGACGCATTCGGCGCGGCCAGAAGAGCGCGCATGAACCACGAATTGCGCTCTTCTGCCGAGAGATCCAGGAGAGACAGACAAGAGGCAATGAGAGATGGAAGAGAGTACGGAGAGGGAGAGAGAGAGAGAGGGCGGAGAGAGGAAACGCGCTTTCAGCACCCGTCAGTGTTGGGGTCCGCGGATCAATGAGGAGCTTGACGGTTTCGGGGTTTGCCTCCCCACACCACCTCCTGCTCCTCCTCCACTCCCCTCTCGCTCCGTCACAACAGACGCAGGCAGCAGTAGCGGCAGCAGCAGTAGCAGGCGCTATGCGCAAAGCGGCGAGTGCGGGCTCACTGCTGCTGTTGTTACAGCGCCAGTCCCCGGCGCTGCGCTCAGCAGCTCCACGTTATCCGTCGCCCGAAGAAGTCGCGGTTGTAGAATGAAAAGATAAAGGGAATTAAAAAAAAAGATTTCCCGAGCTCGCTCACACACGTTCGTCCCTGGGCACTCTGTAGGACAGGCGCACGTAACACGCGGGCCAATTATTAGCTCCTAAAAATAAAAAAAACGCACATAGCCACCCGGCGCGTGAACACACGCTCCATCATTACGCGATGGTGTGTGTAAGGAAGCGCATTAATTGCGTGAATTAAGGACAGCAAAGTTGAGCCATCCGAAGAGAGAGAGAGCGAGAGGAATTAACAGCGCCCAGCGTGTGCGCATTTTCAGTTTACAATCCCGCGTCGCCTCTGTAAGCAAGCTATCAAATTAAAACAAAACTCGGGGTTAAATAACAGAGAGCACGCCTTATTATCGTTGTTTTCCCTTTACGAGCAGACGCGCCGTGCGCCACGCAGAGAGTTTCCAACAAAGAGCCGTCACTGTGCCCGTGCGGTGCCGGATTGGCTTTGGGTTGAGTCCGTCTCGCTTCGGCTGCAGTGCCCGAGGCGTGGGGGCGTGTGGGGCTGTGGTTGTGGTGGTTGTTGTGGTGGGTGGGGGGGATGTGGGGACGGAGGAAGATCGGAACTTGGGAGCGAGTTTAAAAGACACCAATGTCATTTCGTGTGAAACGGCATCGCAGGCACGCATCAGCAGCAACAACAACAACAATGATTTTGGGGTCAAAGGCAAATGGATCTAGCTGGGAAATAATCGTGCTGGTAAAAGGGCTTTACGACCAAATAATAATAATAATAATCGTGGTTGGTGATGGGGGCGGGGGGGGGGGAAGAGTTGTTCGAGAACATGTAAGTCTTAATGCGTCGACGTGTGATCGGATACTCGGAACAAATACGAATATAAGAGTCTTGACACACGAGGCTGCGAAAGCGATCGTCCGTGGTGTAATGCGCGAACTTATGATCTTTTTTTGTAAAAAAAAAAAATCTCACGTGATTTTGTTGCGGTGCTTAAAACGGTCACACGCGTCACGTTGTAATGTGGCCATTGACGTCAGCGCGATGCGCATTTTGCCCCACCACAACATCCGAACCACGTAATTAGTTGAGCACTGAAAGCCGCAGTCAGTGAGAGGTAATTACCACGGGGGGGGGGCGGGAGGGTTCGCCTTCTCCAGTGGAAATTCCCACGTTCGAGTCTAGATCGAGATCCGGCCCCAACCCCTCCGTCTTTCCTCCGCTACAAGTGACTGATTGTCTTGGCCTGGGAGAAAGCGTCTTTCATTGAGCTCCCTTCGCCACGTCGTCCTCGGCATTCTCACTGTTGCCTTTCGGATTATTGTCATGCAACAAAGCTAAGGAGGCAATACCTCCTCCCTTCTCAGCCCCATCGATGTCTCGCCGTCTGTACGGCGTCTTGAGATGCGGTCCGAGTCCGACTTTCAACACATAACGAACAGATGCTCTACTGTGAGTGAACGCACGTTGAACTTATTTCGCATCGTGCGCAGCCAACCGTGCTAATCGGAGGTGCGGGGAAGGACAGCGACACTAAACACAGAGAGCAGTTCTCAGGAAATGAGAATTCCACGTTCTCACGCCGGAGCAGATCCCAGACCCGTGTAACATTCATTGCTTGTTGACAACAAGCGGCGCGTGATTTCGACCAAGTGGATTACCGTCGGTATCGAGGAGCGTTACAGAGCCCGATTAATACGATGTCTTAAATAACCCCACGTACACATTGCGTCTCGACTTTGACGCTTTAAATGCACGATAATTGTTTGTTTTCTTTTCTTTCATCACCTGCCTCCAACAACAACGCCAATGCTATTCGCCCTTGCCAACACCCGCCTTGTCCAGCACTGCGCCCTCTCTTGGCGATCACTCGCACGTCGCCGTTTGTGTCGACGCCACAGCGGGACACGCCACGTCGTCGTTTCGCGCCGTGCGCAGCTGCCTGCCACTCACCTCGCTGGGCGGTCGCACCGTTGATTAGCGGACACGCACGAGTGTCGCCAAAGGTGTTCGCCAGTAGGTACGAATTGTGAGCCAAACGTAACGCGTAAAACGCCCGATAAGAAAGCGTAAACATCCATCAATCGTCAACGCGTAGTCCACCGAACGCAGAACAATGCGCCTGTAAATAGAGACACGATACCTGCCAGCGAGGCGAGTCAACAGGGGAGTCACGCCAGTGTAATTAGCACACTGTAGTTACATCTGTTTGGGTTTCCATTGCAGCAGAACATGTCTTTGTTGAGTTTGTGTTTCGGTTTATTGTTGATTGCGCGCGTGGTTTAAGGGCACGATTCAAAGAAGTTTCCATAATCTTGTTGAAAGGCGCGTGTATGACGCGTTGACTCACGTATGTCACATGTAGGCTGGGCATACCTGTTCCACAGTTACGTCCTCCCTTCTCTATGCTTACGAAAACATTGGACTCCCTTTAAAAGAAGATCTGCAACGGGTTGAAACATTCACGCTGGCCTGCCTAAGATCCATCCAGGGTTTAACCAGACTGGATTGTGTCAGCAGTTTTCATATTTTTGAAAGGTCTGGACACAGACCCATTCGTAAGCTCCTCCGGCAGGCGAGGCTGCGTCAGCTAGATCATGTAGCCCGTATATCCAGCCATCGCAAGTCCAAACAGCTTTTGTTTGGCCGGATAGAAGGGATAAACAGGCATGACACGGGCTCGGGTATAGCTGGGCTGATGTGGTACAGGACATTGTGGAGACTTACCGATGACTCGTACCAGTGGTGTCAAGATCGGCTTCTGTGGAGGAGGCTCGTGAAGGGCGCTACTGGACAGTTGAAGGCAATCGCCCTCCAACAGCAACGGAGGGCAAAGGAGCGACGCTCACAACAACGAGAGGCTCGCCGGGTGGATAAAACGCAGCAAGATGCCACAGTGGGGAGCACAGGTGGTGCATCTGTCGGTCATCTCAGTCAGTCTACCAATAACTCCTGGCCCTGTGCCGTGACCTCCTGTAGGGGAAGCCTTAGGCACTTCACGTGGCCTCAACGCGCACCTGACCCTGGCACTAGCATTGTGTTGACGTCACCGGCACTTGGTGGCAAATGGCGTTTCTTGTTGGACATTTGTGTTGAGACATAACATCTCGCTGATGTACACAGGGTGCTTCAAAAAAATATTAACACTTCGGAGAATTTGCAACACTGCCACAATAAATGTGCTGCTGCCTCCGGATTCTTGAGACCACCTGGAGAAGATTCCAGGCCACGTGTTGACAATTATGGCGTTAAAGTGGAGACTCTGAATTTTTGAAGCTATTAACGTTACATTTATAATCATGGTATTATCCGTTCTTTTCCATAAAATATGATAGTCCCATATAAGTGTCAAAACAAAATGTAAGCACCCTGTATACAGTATGCAGTTGACATTGCAAATACGATGGCTGGGGTTTTCTGTTATATAAGAGTATTTAAACATGAGCACATGAAGTCCATGAAATAGATACAGCATATACGGCTTAAAGAAACTGCTTGTATTTGGATAAACGGCAAAAAAATCCAATTACGGATCTTGACTTTAGGTACTACTATACAGTATAGTACACATAGTTACTCATCATTAAGGCAAGTCTTTGAGCACAGCGCACATTTAGTAAAGGACCCAATTCCAAGACTTGCACCTGCTTGGCTAGCGTCGTCATATATTTACTGTGGATGTACGTGCTGTGTCATTACACGTGCTGTGTTCAGCACGTGTAATGACAATGGGGAGCGGTAGTGTAGCGATGAGCGCGCTGCGCTACGAACCTGGCTATCCGAGTTCGATTCCCGCTTACGGCCAACACTGGTGACGATTATCTGAATCGGTCCTGAGCCTCCCCTAGGTCGACTCAGCCTCAAATGAGTACCTTTTGCGGTGGGTAAACATCCCCACTGGGAGACAAAGGCGGTAGGGCGTGGTGCTGGCCACCAACCCCCTCGTGTGCCGTGCCGGGCCTTCATAGGTGCTTCGCCCTAACAGCACTTGCCCCAACAGTCTTTTAAGGCTATACGGGGTGGAGGGGGAGATCTTTATCTTTGTGTTCAGCACCGCCGGCCAGCGGACAGCGCCGCAAGGAGAGCTCCAGCACAGGTGTGCCCGCGAAGTCTGAAACGTAACACGAAGCCGCCTGTTTTCCCTGGACACACAGAGGCACGGCTGGGGCATAAAGTCCCTCCTGATGAATGGAAACGGGTGCGAGGGTGTTTACCGACTTCGCGAGCACAGCACCGGCGGGCTCTATCTTCGACTGAGCCGTGTGCGGCGCAAATGTGTTGTTTTCCTCCCCATATTGCGTAGGTGGTGAAAGTTGAGTTTGCGATGGCTTTCCTTTAGCCCACCGCCGCTGACCTTCACGCGAGCGAGCGAGTGAGTGCGTGTGGATCTGTATTAATGCGATGTACGCACGTGCAGACGGCGCGCGCGCGTGTGTATTTATTAATCAACATTAAAACACGAACAGAGGTAACGTAATACAACGATACAACAGCCCAGCGTGCTCTTCTTGTAGTGCGATGGCAAATAGCAACCGTGTCACTCCTCGCGAGGATAGGTCATTGCTACGACATTTGGCCCTTGATATTGCTTTTAAAATGAGTAAACATTGCGCGTTTTAACCAAACAGATGTCCGACGAATATTATGCCTATGCACACACAGTTTTATTAGGGCAGCCCTGCGTTTAATGCAGATGACAATAAACGCAAATGTAACACTGTAAAATCGTGCAAAAACAAAGGGGAGGCTAAATGTGGCCCGGGAATAGTTTGGTATTTTTTGTTGTTGTTGAAAGGGCCAAGAGAAAATGATGATTTTGGAGGTGTGGACATTGCATTGTTCTATTAATGCCACGTGTTCACACCCAATTCCCATCGAAGCGGAATCTTTCACATGGGCGCCTTTCGATGATTTTAAAGCTATATTTAACACTAATTCAGAATGTGGTTGACATTTCGTATGCACGTCCAAATGTATTCAACAAATCGCTTAACGCAGTGCATGGGTGATTTAAAATCTTTAATTAAAACTATAGAGTCCAGTGCCATTATTATGCACTTAGTTGTCATGCAGACTTTTTAATTTCGCATCCTTGGCGGGCAGTCCTTAGTCTATGGTCATATAAAAAAAAAACACTGTTCACCATCTGCATGTTATAAATGATTTGAACGTGTGGTGTCTTTTTTTTTAAACTGCCTATCTTTAATGTGTAAAATGCATGTCTTTGAACAGTGGGCCGATTGGCTCTGTATGCCCTCCTTCGAATAAGATGCATGGTTTCCACAACGAAAGTTTGCACGTGGGGACTGGTGGTGAGTTAACTCGATGAAAAAAATTATTAATTCCAAATCATATATGGACACTGTCCATCTAATAATAACCTTCATTTGTACACATGCACACTGTTAAACCACCGCTGGTGAAAATGACTCACCACATGGTGTCAGTTATGGGTGGTTGTTTGACCATACTTCACCACCGGGCTAGATATTGCTCGCCATTGCGGTGATGTTAACCATGGCAACGAATCAACTTCAATGAACCA